TTTGGAGATTTTATGATATTAGAGCAGATTTTAAAAGTTGATCTTCAGATTTTGATGGTATCAGATGTGATATGATAAGTTCCGAGCCTTGTGCATTTGTGGGACCCTCTCACGAGTGCACGGCGTCTGTCGCGTCTCGAAATTGGGTTTTGGGGCGTGACAAAATTATTAATGATAATAACAAAAAAAAAATTCAAATTACTTAAAATTTGAAGATAGAAATTGAAAATATCTAATTTGTAGATAGAAATTAAGTGTTTAAGGCGTACACAGAATATATTCCAATACATGTCCCAATGCTCAGCAAGGACTTGTCCCTACGATGTGTAAGCAATTAGGAGATTCTCTTGCAACTGGACCACAATCTGTCGTCTGACCTGTTGTGGTAAACCACCAAACTCATATAGCTCTAATGGGATTTTCGTCCCATCAGTAGGCATCTGCACAGGTTTAGCTTGCCCCCGTCCTTATCTCTACTGGTGGGTAGCCGCAGGTATCTCCTCATCACTGGGAGACTTGACTTGTATATTAGCATTTGAAGTTGAAGTCTCCAGAACCACATCAGTAGGAACTTTCTCCTAAACTTGTCTTTGGGGATCAAATGGATTTGGCTGTTATAGTGGTTGGGTGGAATCTACAGCCTTCGTGCAATGAAAACTACAGCAATCCATTGTAAAAAAATATAACAAATACAAAAAAAAATTAATAAAGTAATTTAAATGCATAAATAAATTACTATTAATATCGCAATAAATAAATTACAATTAACATCACAATAAAAATTAAAATAGCTTTAATTTCTATAGATAAGCAAATAATAATCAAATTATATTTTAGTTGAATAACATACAGAATAATTAATATAAATAAAAAAATTATATAAGTATTAACAAAAAAAATATAAAATTAATAATATGATAAAAACATAAACGTATAAATTTTATTCCAACTAATACAATTATAGAAGCATAAATAAGCAAATATTAACTTAAAAATAATATTGATGTTATACAATTTTAAATTAAATGACATATAATACAACTAAGATAATTATAAAAGTACAAACAAGCAAGCATTAACCATAAATATAATAATAAGTTTCAATAGTTTCAATATTATTGTCTACTCATCACTACTATCATTCTCCTCAACATACGTTTCTATGTTTTCTTCTTCTGATGTCTTAAAATCTTCCCATTCTCCTTTTTCATCCTCGTCCCCAATCCCCTCGCCAACATCAGCTTCTTCATGTATTTCAATAAATCTCCCATCAGAATATTGCATAGGCTCATAAGCAATGTCATCAATATTTATTTGTTGAGGAATAAGAAGCTCATCGTCTTGGAAATATGGTGCCAATCCTTCTTGTTCATCATCTTTATTCTCAGGAACCTCAATGATACTCCTAGCCTTAATTTTAAGTGTAGTAATCCATCCCCTTCCTCCATGATTAATAGATGGGTATGTTGTGTAATAAACTTGCCTTGCCTGACTAGCAAGAATGAAAGGCTCATAAGATCGAAGGTAACTTCTAGGATTAATGTCAACTAATTGATGTTTTTGATCCACTTGAACCCTTTGAGCATGTAATACCCCCAAATTTTCTAGGACACTTAAGTGTGAGTTATGGACTTAATTGTGAGAGAATAATATTGTTGGCCTTAATAATAGAAAATTTCAAAGTTTAGGGACTTAAAAGAGAAAATTTGGATAAGCTCGGCGGAAAAAAAAAA